CACCTCAGAAACCCAAGGAGGGATTGCTATGAGTCAGGACCAACTCGACGGCAGTGAGTTTGGTTTTTGTTTTTGGTTACACATATATATATGTAACAGAGCACACAGGGGTACAGTTAGAGAAACTACTTAGACATCAGGACTAAAATAACTGGACCTGAAGGCTAAGGACCATGGCCTTGGGGGACATCTAGGTCAACTGGCAAAACACAGTTCATGAAGATGAAGTTCAACATCCTAATCAGGTGAGTAGAACCTGAGGTCTTAAAAGCTTACAAGCAGTGATCTAAGAAGTAACAATATTGGTGTCTTCCCACCTGGAGCAATGGAGAACAAAGAAAAAACAAACACTCAAGGAAGCAGTTAGTTCCAAGGACTGATGGCTCACACAGACCACAGCCTCCTCTAACCCGAGATCAGAGGACCTAGATGGTGCCCGGCACCACTACCATGTATGCTGACCAAGACCACATAGTAGAAGGTCCTGGTTGAAATGGGTTTAAAAAAAAAGAAATAAAGTAGAACAAAATTCAAAGCAAATACAAAAGACCAGACGTACTGTTCAGAAAGAGACTGGAGGAACCCCTTGACTGTTGCCCTGAGACAACCTTCTAACCTGAAACTGAAGACACTCCCAGAGCTTACCTTCCCGCCAAGTAACAGAGGAGTGCTCTCAGAACAGCCCACTACAGGAGACCAACAGGGCAGCATCACCCAAAACTAGAGATGAAAAGAAACAGAAGGACGGGGAACTGGACGAATGGAAATGGGGGTGGCCAGGGAGGAAATGGAGTGCTGACACACTACAGGGATTGCAACCAATGTCATGGAACAAATGATCCATGAGTTACTGATGGGGAAAACGAATTTGCTTTGTAAACTTTCACCTAAAGCACAATTAAAATGTTAAAAGAAAAAAAAAAAAGCTATTGAGAGGTCATGATGGAGGAGGTGACAAGTGGTTGGGCTGGGGACGGACTAGGAATGTGGAGCTCCTGCAACGAAGAGAGGCAAATGACAGAGAAGAACCATCAAGAATGACAAGAGTCAGAGACAGGGAGTGCAGAGGCATGGGGAAGTGCCAAGGGAGGGACTGTGGGGGTGGTGGCAGCTGGTGGCCCTACCCCTTCTCCTCAGGGTGGAACCAGCCAGGCAGGGCCACCCACCTGCTCCACCTGCAGCCTCCTTGGACAAAGGAGGCTTCGATGGATGTGTGACTCACACCAGAAACCAGGACTGCAGGCTGCCCACCTGCCTCCTCCGTCTCCACTGAGGAAAGTGACAATAAAGGTGAATTTCCAAACACTGACTCCATGAGGTCCCACCTGCAAGTGTTTGCCTCCATCTGGGCTTTTGAAACTCCAAGGTCGCCTCCAAACTCTACCTACATGTCCATCCCTCTGTCATCCCCTGAAGTCATAAGGCTGAGAGTGTCTGTGTCCACCTGTATCACCCCATCAGAATGCGAGTCTCTCTAGGGCACACAAAAACTACCATAATCTGGATCCTACCATCAAGCTGACAGTCCAGCACTTGGGCATTTTCTGCCTAGTGAACTCCTACTCATCCTTCAAAATCCATTTCATCTGGGAAAACTTCTCAGCTACTCATGTTTCCTGATCTAACACATCAATAACCAAATGACACCAAAGCAGTTGCTGTCCAGTCAATTCTTACCCAAGGCGACCTCATGTGTTGCAGAGTAGAACTGCCCCCCACAGTTTTCAGGACTGTGCCCCTTTAGAAGTCAATTCCAGGTTCTTCTGAGACATCCTTGGATAGATTCAAACTGCAACCCTTTCAGTTAGTGGCCAATTGCTTTACCCCAGGCACCATCCAGGGACTCCGACATGTCAACAGCAGATACAAACTGAGCATTCACTATGTTTCAGGTCTCATTCTGAGGACTTAAAGCAAAACACCCCTAGGAAGTAGGTGATTCTTATCCTGATTTTACACACGGGGAGGAGTCACAGGGTGGGGCAGATGGTTAAGTGCTCAACTACTTGCCAAAAGGTTGGCAGTTCAAACCCACCCAAAGGCACCTCAGAAAACAAATCTGCTTCTGAAAGGTCAGTCTGGGAAACCCTATGGTGCACAGTCTACTCAGACGCATACGGGGCTGTCATGAGTCAGAATCCACTCAATGACAGCTAACAAGAACCACCGTTTTACACATGAGAAAACTGAGGCTCAGGGCAGAAAACTAGGAAGCAGTGGATCTGAGGTACAAACTTGGGCAACTTCACTCCGCTGTCTCTGCACCAGGTATTCATAATACTTCCCAGTGGGATTGCCTTGATCACTGCCATCTTTCAGATGAGGCGCTTCAGGCCCAGAGGGGTTAAGCAATGTACCAAGAGTCACACAGCACATCCAAAGCCCTCCGCTCTTAACCTTCCTACCTTATCACCTCTTCATTCCTTAGTTTACTGTGTATTTGATGACTGCCAGGCACCAGTCTGAGCTGGGGAGAAAGTGAGGGACAACTTCTGAGAAAGTGACATGTGAGCTAAAAAATGAAAAAGAATCCACCTTGGGAACTTCTGGAGGAAGAGAAAGACCCTAAACCTTACCAGGATCACTCCCACTTCCATCCCTTTGCCCATTCTCTTCCCCACCCAACAAACTCCTCTATCCTATTAAGCCCAGCTCAAACACCTGCTCCTCCTAGGAAATCTTTCCAGACCCACCTCCCAAGCAGAATCCACAACACTCACTCCCTGGACTCCTTCCCTTTGACTACAGACAGCTGGGAAGATCTGGACAGGGATCAGCCTCACCAGCCTCAAAGTTCTTCGAGGTCAAGGCCTCTCTGAGCCCCCACTTCCAAACTCAGATGTGGACACAGAGGAGCTTATTTGTAAAATAGAGTGAAGAGCAGAAAAATACGAAGAATTCGTAGGGAAAGGGATTTAAACAAGCTGTTCTCCGAAAGATTCCGGGTTCCGCCGGGTTCCATTTTCGCCTTTGAAAGACCCGCCCCCTAACCCCGCCCCTAGCCGTGACCGCCCAGTTTCCCGGAAGTAGGCTCCTTAGTGAGCAAGACCTATGGGCGCGAGGCACGCCGGGAGTTGTAGTTCCACCATCGGACGGAAGCCGAGACGGACGTGCGGCGGGATGTGGCCCAGAATATTGGTGGGGGGGGCCCGGGTGGCGGCAGGCAGGTGCCCCGCGCTGGGGCCTTGCCTCGCCGCACGTTACCTCCCGCAGCGGCCGCCGCAGCAGACCCCCGAAGCGGGCTTTGCCCCGCAGCGGAGCCTCCACGCGACAGCGGCCCGGCCTCTCCCCCTCATTCCCATCGTGGTGGAGCAGACGGTACGGTGTCCGGGCGGAGACAAGGGCCGAGGGCTTCGGGCTAGCTGAGGGTGCAACCAGCCCCCATGTACCCTCACCTGCATCTTCCTGTCCCAGGGTCGCGGCGAGCGCGCCTATGACATCTATTCGCGTCTGCTGCGGGAACGCATCGTGTGCGTCATGGGGCCGGTGAGCGCCCCTCGCCGGGGTCCGTCCCTTTTCCTTCCCCGACCCCCTGTGCCCTCTCTAATTAATCTCCTCTGACCCCTGGTCTCTCCCCCTTAACTTTCCTCCCCAGGCTCCTTTCTGGTCTCAACCCCCTCCACTACTCTTGACCTCTCCCCCCCACACACACAATAAACTGAGAACCTCCTCTCTGGGCCTTAACCCCTCTGACCTCCCTCTTGGTTCCCAGTCTCCTCGATCCCCTCCTGCACCCCTTCCCCAAGCCCTCTGACCTCCCTGAGACTGTGAGTCCCCCTTCCTCATTCCTGGGCTCCAGCCCCTCCCGTTAAAGTTCGTTAGTCTAAGCCATCCTGACCCCTTCCCCTATGGTGCCCTGAGCCCTCTGATCTGTCCCTTCCTGTACCCCAAACCCTCTAGGTCCCAACGACCCAGCTGGGGCCCGAATTCTTCCGACCCTTCTTCCTTCGCCTCTGACACCCTTCCTGGCTCCCTGACCCATTCCCAGTCCCCTGTGGTTCCCTCCTTGAACTCTTTCCTCCCCCAATCTGGGGACAACACCCTGCCCTCCCCACCTCCAGATCGATGACAGCCTGGCCAGCCTGGTGATCGCACAGCTGCTGTTCCTGCAGTCAGAGAGCAACAAGAAGCCCATCCACATGTACATCAACAGCCCCGGTGAGCAGACGGGCCTACCTGGGTGCGGGGCGCAAGCCGTCTCCTGCGCTGGGGGACTCAGGAAACCACGGCCCAGAGTCAGAGAGGTCACAGGGGCAGGGGGATCTTTCATGAGCCCTTGAAAACGGTGCCAAGATGTTCTCTGTCTCTGGGGAGATGGTAGAAGCTTTCTTCAGAATACCAAAGGTGTCTGTCTTGCCTGAAGTCTCCAAAAAATGTCTGTTTCTTATTAAGTCCAGGATCACTAATTGGCAGCTGAATTCACCCCGCAGAACATGGCCTCTTTGATCCTATACCTACTTTTGCCTTGTTTTTTATAATTTCACCTGTTGTTGTTGTTATGTGCCAC